TTGGACTTTAGGATGGGCCCGGGCTGCACTCAGCTAAGCAAAGCCATTTAGCCCCGCGCGGCATGGAGCCGGTCTCGCAGCTCGGCCTGCACAAAAGTCCCTTTCGGCGACACAAGCCGTGCGATCCCCACTGCCTCGAGCTGCTCCTCTTTGGCTTTCAAAGCCTTGTTTTGGAAAGAGAACCAGAACAGAGCACGAAGAAACCCGGAGCTTCGGAGCATCCGACGTGGACTTTCTCGATCTTCTGCTTCAGCTCATCTTGCAGAGCCTGGGCCGATGCATGGCCGATGCCCTGCGCTCTTGCTCTGCGCTCTCCGAGGTCCCGGCTCCAATCCGAAGAAGCCACTGGCCCTGGCAGCGAAGGAGGCGCTCTAGACTCGAGACACGTCGCCGCCCTTGCGCTCGGAGGCCTCCTTGCATCCCCCCTGAGTCCTGAGACAGCAGCCCGTCTCTATGCAAAGCACCTTGAAGCCTTGCGCATCGAGTCCTGGAGATCGGCTGCAGTTCCCGCAGCGCCTGCTCGGAAGAAACAGGCATGTGTGCGCGTGCATTCGTTGATTGGCATCGGCCTGCTCCAGTTGCTGCTCTCTCTGGCACTGCTTCTGCAGCTTCTCCTCCCACTAACGAATTTGAAAGTGTGAAACCTGGCTTTGACTGCCGCCTGCAGCTTCGCACGTAAGGTCTCGCCACTGCCTGGATTCTGGGGCATTGTACGCTCACTCGGCCGCTATCCATTGGCTATCCATGCAGCTGCAGCTGCTGCCGCTTCTTACATTCTTGGTTCACTGCCAAACCACAGACCCGGCCATGTGTAGACTCTGTCCCAACTGATCACCGTAGAAACAAGAACGGCAGAGCCCCCGAAATGAAGTTCCAACCAGTGACCGACACGAACGACTCTCGACGACATAGTGGACCTGCTTCGCTACAAGATTGTGCGACTGCAGGCGTTCAAACAAAGGAGCCGCGACACTGCTGGTGTGAGCACAGACAGCACTTGTGATAGCTCGATGTCTTCTTGGATTTGGTCGTGATGTAACCGTCGTCCTCGTGGTCGTCGTCGTCGTCGTCGTCGTCGTTTGTGATGGTGATGGTGTTACTGGTGGTACTGGTGGTACTGGTGGTACTGTTGGTACTGGTGGTACTGGTGGTACTGGTGGTACTGGTGGTAATGGTGGTACTGGCGGTACTGGTGGTACTGGTGTTACTGCTGGTACTGCTGGTACTGCTGGTACTGCTGGTACTCTGGTAGTGGTAGGGGAATAGTGGAATAGTGAAGAAATATGTAGAATAATGGAACAAAGGAAGTGGTATTGGTATAGGTAGAGGTATAGGTATACGTATAGGTATACGTATGGCTATACGTATAGGTATAGTGGTGGTTGTGGTAGTGGTGTGTTTGGTGGTGGTAGTGGTGGTGGTGGTGGTGGTGGTGGTGGTGGTGGTGGTGGTGGTGGTGGTGGTGGTGGTGGTGGTGGGGGTGGCGGTGGCGGCGGCGGCGGCGGTGGTCGTGGCGGTGGTGGTGGTGGTGGAACTAGTAATACTGGTAGTACTGGTAGCACTTGTACAAGTAGCACTAGTAGTACTTGTAGCACTTGTAGTACTGGTAGTACTGGTAGTTTTGGTAGTGGTAGAAGTGGTGCTAGTAGCAGTAGCAGTAGTAGTTAGTCGTACTAGCTGTAGCAGCAGTAGCGGTAGCCGTAGCTCTAGCGGCAGCGGCAGCGCCAGGGGTCACAGGGGCAGTAGCAGCAGCAGTTGCAGTTGCAGCAGCACCACGAGTTGGAGCAGGACGAAGATGGTCAAGAGCAGCCAAGAGTAGGAGTCGCCAAAGCAGTACGAGTAGCCGCAGCGATAGTTGCACAACTTGCAACTCAAAAACGACGCAGTTTACCCAAATCGTAGACAGTACATCGCACAGCTCATGGGCTGCCTGATAGACGCTGGCGGGTCTCTCTCAGGCGTCTCGCCTATGCCGCGCAGCCGATAGGGAGAACCCAGGCAGGCGAAGTTCTGAAGGCGTGCCTCCCGTCTTGCCCGGATCTCCTTTTCACGCTCCTTCAGCAGGTCCTGCGAACAGCCCTAGTTGCGCATTTCGCATGCTACAACAAGATGTTCCTGCCAAGGCTGCTGGAAAAGACGAAGCGAGACAAACATTGGGAGGGCAACCTTGGGAGGCCGTGAAGTCTTTTGAGTCCAGTCCTCTTCTTGCTTCAGTTCCTCCTGGTAGGATCGAACCTGTTGCACAGCTTCTTGGACTGAGCACCCCAAGTAACTGGATCACCTTGACAGACCCCGCGCAAGCTTCCACATCCGATCTTGCAACGGTCATATCACTGCAATGCTGGAAAAGCATGTGCACGGAACTGCTGCCAGGGTACTTGGAAGCTCATCCTGCAAGCACTGGATTCCAAAGCATCATCAGCGAGGGTGCACCATGGGAAACTTCCCAGCGTCCAGCCTCGATCGAGTATTGCCGCATGGGGGCGACGGCAAAGCTCGAAGCTCGAAGCTCTGCAGTGGGGCGGGGATGGTGTGGAGGCTTCTGTCATGCCGCGAAGGCCAAGGTGGACAGGACTTGGAGAATGTCTGACCGCTTGCTTTCGATGACAGCCCCTCGGAATATTGCCGCTTGGCAGATCTCGAGCAAAAGCGCGTGACATGCACGTCTTTGCCTTGGTCTACGACCGTTTCATGCAGAATCTCGTGCAAGCTGGAAGCATTGGTATGCAGGAAGTTGTCTGACATGCCTTGCAAGTGCATGCAGGTCTCGAGCGGCATTCGATGTAGTCTAAGTCTCTAAATAGTTGTGACAACTCTATTGCGTCACCGCCGCAAAGGCTTCGCCGCTCGCGACGGCCACCTGGCGTGGTTAGGCTTGAGTCGCGGATTGGTCAGAAGCTGCGAGATGGGACCTAGCTTAAAAGCTTTTTGACGTTTTGCTCGCCGCCGGTGAAACCTCCAAGTGCTACAAAGCGGACAGCCGCGGAGCCGAATGGAACGGGGAAGCCCTGCAGAAGGCAAGATCAGGCGAGCAGAAGGCGCGGCCCAAGCGGCGGATCGCCGTTGCCAGGAAGAGAGCGGCTCGCCAGGTCGGGGCTCCGGCTCGGCGGTCCTGGTGACGAAGCTTGTGACGTGAAGCCGATACCTTCTTGAGGCTACAGAAACCTGAAATCTGTGAAGTCCTTAAGCCGCCTCCAGCTCTTCTGGAGAGGGATAAGCCTCTGCCAGGGTCATCTTGGCTTTGTTCACCTCGCTGTCCTCCTGGGCAGCAGCATCTCAAGTCTTATCCTTGCAGGCAGGGAAGATAATGAGCCAAGGCTCGCCGCAATTGCTGGCCACATACGGCTTCCGGTTGAAAATCCGGATTACCATAGGCTCAAAATGCTCCAGCGGCAAGGAGTCGTATTCAGGATCGAAGGCAGGCGAGTCGTACTTCTCGCAAAAGGTCTCGCAAGCCTTCCAATGGGGGCTGTCCTTGAACCTGTCTCTGGAGTTCTTTTCCTTCAGTTCGAAAGCATCCTGGTAGTAATATGCCTGAAACAGCTCGTGATGAACAAGAACCCAATAGTTCTGCGGGCTGATGTACGGACGCAGCAAGCTGGCAACTATCTCACCGTGGTTGATAGGCGACCAACATTCCCCAAGGTCATGCAACAAGGCGACCACCACTGTCTCCTCGTCGCATCCATCTCTGAGTGCCCTAGTCGCTGTTTGAAGGCCGTGCTCATACAAATCGACAGCTGTACCAATGTTGACCCCTTTCTGGTCTCGAAACATCTTCAAGATGCGCTCTGCATTCAAGGTGGGGGAAGCGACTTTGTTGAAGCCACGCATCATCAGAGAGCAGTCTTCCTTTCTGGCCTTCTTCAGGTCTGTGAAGGTGGCTCGATCATCTCGCTCACCTTCCTCTCTTTCGCGTACCACACCGACCATGGCTTCAAAATCGGAAGCCCGGAGGTCCCAAGTGTAACTTTAGTTTCAAGCCAGCTGCACAGTCAGAAGGACGTATGAATCTGAAGCACTCTCGTCGCACATCGGATCAATGCCAGGCTTTACTTTACGGGACATGTCACATGACACTACCCGACACAGACTACCAGGTTTCTCTGCCGGAACCCCGGCCGGGGTTGCCGAGTCCTTCGCCGCAGAGGCCGAGGGCGTGGAGGCCGTCAGAGGCCATCGCGGAAGCGCGAGAGCCAGAGTCGAAATCCGACGAAAAAAGGACCCCAAAGTGTGTGGGCAGTTCTGTCGTTTGTTTTGGTGTGTTTTTCCTCGTGGGATCCACCCCTCTCATGAGGCGCTGGCTTTTGATCGTAGTTCTTAATCCTGCGCCCCCTTCTACGGCGATGGCCGTTGCTCGCATTTCTTAAACCCATTGGGCGATGGTTCTTGATCACGTTTCTTTAAACCCGCCTCCTCATTAGACGATGGCAGTTGATCACGAAACGCACAAGCAGTGGAACGCAAAAAAGGAAAGCAAACAAGCAGAAGGCAAGACAATTCGGAGACCAACGACGAAAAGAATAGCACACGCTCTTAGGAACAAACGCACGAAGCAGAAGCAAGAGATAATGATGTGAAGCAGAAACGGAGTAAAACAGCAAGCGGTAAGCAACACGAAACAAAGAACAACAATGCTTGGACTCCATAGAGACATGGTTTAGCTCTCGCCATGACAAAGGCAGGTGCCTATCATGCGGCAGCCGACATGGATGGGCCGACAAGTTCTTGGATTTTTTTTGCACCTGGCCTTGCAACTGTCCCTGTCTCTCAATCTCTTGAGTCTCTTGAGCCTGTAAAGATTGTCCCGCACCCGACTTCTGGTGAAGTTGTTGCAAATGACACTCTGCCCACTGGCCTTCCTTACCTACAGTCTAGAGCATCGTCATAGACTCATAGAGCATTGACGAGCATGACAACAGCTGAACATGGCATTTGCAGCATCGACACGTCCAACAGTTGCACCAATCATTGAACCCTGCGCAGACCTATTTTCCACGTCATGCTTGAAGCAGGCGCAGAGTTTTGATGAAGTTCGCCACCTCTTCCTTCTCCACAGCATTCCTCTGCACAGGGTGGCCATCCAGCGACATGCACACACCAACTCCGCAAGGCACGGACCCGCCAAGCCGCAGCCGCGAGAACGGGCGTTTTGCCCACGCGGTCCCAAGACCTGGCAGATTGCGGAGCTTCTCCGCAAGAAAATGACAGAATTGCACGAGTCGCACAGGCAAAGCATGCCAAGGCACAGCTCAAGTCCTCCGACTTCAACAGGTTCTGCTCCAGCCCGAGCTCATCCAGCTGAGACTTCGGAAGCTGTTCCGCAAGAACCTGGCGAAAATTGAGAGCACGGTATGCGGAAGTCGTCTTAGTCTTAGCCTTGAGACCGGTCCCGTCGATTTGGTTGCTCGCCAGCTGGATGGACCTTTTCTTTATCCACTTCCCTCTGCAATGGCACGTGTGTCTCAGCGCCCCCTCGTGACTCAGCATCCGACTTTAAGGAGGTGTACGGTAGCTGCTCTGCAACACTCGTGAGGTCCTTGCAGGACTGTTTCTGTGGTTTCAAATTCCTGCTCAATGTCGCAGACTGCAGGAGCAGTCCTCCAGTGAAAGAGCGCAGTGTACCAAAGCCAGGTCCTGTCTGTCAGCTTGAGAGGAGCGGTTCTACCTGTACCGGTGCGACACAGACCTCCAGCACTGGGGCTTCCATGACCTCGGCAAAAGATTTTGGTCGACTGAGTGGAAACCAGTTCGCATACAGCTCCTCGGCGACACCTCCACCAAGATGTCACCAAGTCCGGTGAACTTGTTCGCCGAAAGGTGCAGGACGTTCAGCCGAAGCCTGTCTTGACAAGCGTCAAAGAGGCCGCAGCTTTGCCGGTACAGTGCATGGCCTTGTCGCATGCTGCGCGAGCAGCTTCAGCGCATCGCAGCCCAAGGAGCAGTCCACCAGCCTCTGGCATGAGAAGATGAGACGGTCTGCGATTTCCCTCTCCACACAACACATGGCCTCAGCGTTGAGACTCGGAAGGGCGGCACGCACAACGGCAGCACGACACGCACTGCAGCATCACCTGGCCAGGAGCAGCTCGCCTGTCTTGCTGCGGCTGCTGGCTCTACCATTGGAGGCGAAGGTAGGGCCCCTCAACGCCAAAAGTACTCTACCTTCCACGGGCCTAGTTGCGCGTTGAAGGAAAGATCCAGTTCCTCCAGTTCCACCCTCAGCCCGAGTGCTCACGGTCTTCGCGTCCACTCATCAGGCTGCTTGTAACCTCAGTCGTCGGCCCTCCTTCGGTGACTGCCTGAACCAGCTGCTGGACACCTGCCGCTGCAACGATCTGGCGACGTGCCACACAAACAAAGCCAGACCTGTTTCGGTGAGCTCGTGGTTGTAGGGCAGCTCCAGGGACTGCACCAAGGCATAAGTCAATGTGACAGCTTCGACCTTGTCCAACATTGCAGTCGGCGGCCTGCAGCTCTGCCTGCTTGCCGTGCCGACGCAGGGCCTATCAGGTGCCCAAAGCCGAAGCAGCCGAAGCAGCCGAAGCATGTATGCCAAAGCATGTATGCCCACGGGCCATGGGCCGGGGATCTAATGGTTGCCCCGTGGGCCGAGGATCTCAGACGATAAGCGTCGAGAATAAAGCACAGACCTTAGGACCCGTCACACGCCTCCCCGGTCTGTACGAGTACATGTGATGTCCACCCGGACTCAGACTGCACTGGAGGGCGAAGTCGACCCAGGAGAAAAATGAGCGGATCATGAGTGTGGTTTGTCCATTGCAGGGACGGTGTGCTCGACCAATCGGCTACATCTGCCCTTCTGTAAAGGAGCGGCAGTTGGGCTTCAATGGTTGTGCAGGGTTGCCCAGGCAAGCATGCAAGATATGCAGATATGCAAATAACATGGTCTTGGGGATCCCGGCTCGGACAAGCATGGTGTCACTAGTAAACTGTCACAGGGAACGTGTAATGCATTCAAGATTGCTGGACAGCGGTTTGCAAGGATTGCCGGCGGCGAGAAGGAGCACCATGGCAGAAATGCTTGCTGGTAGGTCTTTCCATATGCATGGTCGACCGAATCTGGTAAGTCTTTCCATATGCATAGTTTACCGAATCACTGATGGGCTTGTCGTGAGCGCACCGGTGCAATTCACCGTGAATGATTTTCAAACTTTACAGTGTGACCTCGGCTGTCGGTGCCCCGGTGAACGTCACATGGAGAGTCTTACAATATGACATTGACTTCTGATGAGCTGTGTACCTTGCACTACTGTACGCTGTTGCGAACTGCACTGAGTTGCACATGGCCTGGGCCAGGTCCTCCACGTTGCCATCGCTGATGCAGGTCTTCAGCGCCAGCACCGGCGTGGAGCCGCTGGAGGCAGGAGAGAATGGAAAAATTGCTCAGGTCCAACACTCGGTATCGCTCGCTGCTCTGCTCTGCTTGGACCTCTTCAGGCGCAGCAACGCCGCGACCGAGCGCACGCTGATGGCCGCGAAAGCCTCTGCGTGGCACTGCCCCGTGCGCAGGCTGACACAGAGAGGCGCAAGTGTCACGCAGGGCATTGCCAATCAAGATTCTTTTCGTGCCTCGGGCAGCAGGCCCCACACCGCAAGCCTCGCGACAGCAAACTCGCAGTGAGAGATGGGGGAGCCGGGGTGAGAGTGAGAGGCGAGGGTGAGGGCACAACGATCAACATCATGTCACGCCCTCCACTATCTTGCACCACTCGCTGCCATGGGAGTCTGCTGGCCCGGGATTGACCCCGGAAGGCACATCCAGGACAAATGACATCCCGCAACATCCCTGTTAGCCTGCAGCCTTTTAGGATGTAGACCACTACTGCCCTCTGAGCCTGGCAGGCAGCGAACCATCGACCGCCCACTTGACGGTGGCGAGAATCCTGAGCACGCAGCGCGTCGCTTTTGCTTCACGGTCGGTCCCGTGTCTCTGCAGAGCATGCATCTAGGTGTGGGCGTGTCCATGCTGGAGCTGGGCTGCTTCGAGTTTTCCGAATCGATTCCGGACTACCTTGCCAGATCAGCTGAGCCAGCTGAAGAACCGGCTTCACTTGTTCTGACAAGGATGGAAAGGGTTTTGCTTTCTTCTGATTTTCCTGCAGGATTTGCGCCTGCGCTGTCAGAAATTGAGCTGCGGCTCTCGAGCCCACAAAGCACATCATGCACTGAAAAACGTTGGTTGCCCTCCTGTCACGATGGCCTACCACACAACCCCACAACTCAGGCACAACTCAGGCAGCATCCACGACAGCATCGCTGTTGCGAACATGAGGAGCACCAAGATCTTAGGCGTGTCCATAGAAATCCCCTGGCGGCAGATGCTTGATTGAGCAAGCAAGGCACGGCCGCATTGGGGCTTGGGCACGATATGACTCTGCGTGGAGAAACAGCACAAAAACCAAACTGAGTGTATGGTCGCAGCCCCGGGCCGTCCTTGGCTGCCACAGCCTGCGGCGGACTTTCGCCGTGTCTAAACTTAGAGACACCGCTGAGGGCCGCACCAGTTCGGGGGGAGCGGCACCTTGGACCAGCTGTTTCTAACTCCCCACAGAAGATGATGTGCGGGTTGAGGTTTAGGCCCAAGCGATTTGCAGTATCATTCGCCTGGCACACCACAGCATGTAAATATCTTCGAGGACTATCTTGTAAGTCAGTGTGCTGGTTTTGTACTTCTTGTTGTAAATTCACGACTGTACTTTTTCACCACATCCACAGGGCTTTGCTCGGCCCAGGCGCTGGTCATTAGCGCTGACCAAGTAATCACGATAATATGTGTTTTGCTTAGGGCAGTGCCTTGGGCACTTGTCGGGAACGGAACCGACTTCTCATAGGATCCACAAAAAGCACAAACCAACTTCATACAAGCAGACATAGGATGGATGTGGGTTTCATGGCCCAGATTCAGCATGCAAGGTTCTGTCCTTGCATAGAACTGTCACGGCAATGCATCCTTTCGGATCCAAACGCGCCTCGGTGAGCCCGACGAAGTCCAAGTCTTGCTGCACCTCACATTCGCCAGTCCTTGCAAGACCCGAAGCATGTCTGGAAACAGTCAAAGGGACCTAGAGCCTCTGCCCTCCCCAAACGAGTTCCAGGATCCAGTTCTGGTTTGTACTGTTGCTCACTCCGATTCTTCAATGACCTTGACAGGTCGAGATCGGTCGCTCTCTGCTCCATCGAACTCGCGTCCCCCTGAAGCGCGCTTACTCGACGTCTCCTTGCTGAGCACGGCAGCTCAGCGGCCACCTGCACAAGAAGCGATGTCCCACCACTAGAGGTCACTGAATAGACGCCAGCTGCTGTGGTCAGCACATGAAAACACTGTCCGGCCAAGACGACCACGGCTGCAGATGCCAACACCTGGGCTGGCGTGCTTCTTCCTTGTTCTCTAGTTCCCCACTCAGGCCTTCATGATTGCATTGGGAGGCCCCAAAGACAACCGGACCTCTTTGCTGCCTTTGCTGTTTTGGGAAGCTAGAATCCACTTCGCTGATGCTCTTACGACATCAAGTTCGCAGAACACACACACACAAGCAGGACTGAGCCGAAAGGGAGCTGCACTGCTACATGGTGACGTGAAACCGATGCCAACACCGAACATCAGCTCTGCCAGCGGCAACGATGCTAGGAAGCCCCTCTTTCTCGTGCTCGGCGAAAACACAGACCCGGCAGGCATCCTTCGAACCTGACCAGGAAGCTATGAAAGGCTCATGAGACCAACTCGGCTGCCATGGTGCGTTTGCATTGGCTGCTCCTTGCCCATGGCAGAAATCGTCCGGCAATTCAAGGAGCGAAAACTCTGCTACACAGATTGCACATGATTGCACAGTTGCGCTTCCACTGCCAGGCTCGGCAAGCCGGCGCACTCCATCAGTGAAAACGATAACAGCTGGAGTGTTCATGGCTCTGTCAAGGCTGCTTCTACCCGGCAAGCAGTGGAAGACTGGTTGAGGGATGGGCAGTCAGCTGTTGACCAAGCCGCATCTCGCTTTGGACACGGACTAACACTCCAACACGATGCTCGACCAAGCTGATGCGGTCAGCACTGGCCATAACGAGACCCAGAATCAGGACAAATGGAATTGGCGAGCTCCGCGAGCCTGCAGGACAGGGTCAGGCAGCCAACCCGATTCTTGCAATGGGGTGCTGTCTAGTAAGCGCAGAACCATGAAAGATTACAAGATGGCTCCAGTTCGGGATGGAGCTAGGGCAATACAAGCAGCATGCTCTGCCTTTGACCAGAAACAGAAGTAGGAACGGACAAAAATCAATGAGGGCATGTGCTCGAGCTGCGGAAGACACAAGGTCGAGAATTGGAACAACTGCCCCCTCCAATAACCTATGAAGTATCGACACTGTGAGATAGATTGAATTCGGAAAGCCTTCGGCTGATCCCTCTTCCCGTCTTTATCTAGGTGGACACACTTCTATGCAGCCAGACTTCTGCACCCCGGTTGCTTCTCCTACTCGAGATCGAGATGTCACTCGCTCTCAGCTGCTACCGACACGGAGCGGGGCAACACACATGGCTGTGACTTTTGGAGCACGGGCTCTTCGAGCGAGGTGCACTGGTAGCGGTCTAGTCTAATGCACACGGCCGCCCATGGCCGGTCGGTGTGACAGTCGACTCCTAGCAGGCTCTCTTGACTTCATCCCTAACATCGACGAGGCCACAACGGCCGTGCATCGCAGCAACTGACCTATCAATTGCGCAGCCTGAAGCACAAAGAGATGAAATGATGTCATCAAGCTGCTGGAGCCGGGTTTCGATTCTGGTACCACCTGAATGACAGTCCCGATACACCCACAGCGCATGTTCAGCGATACCAACAGTGTCGAGCATGAAGGTCGCTCTTCATGTGAAACTGCCCAACGGCAAGTTGGTGACGGTTGGTGACTCCAAGTAGGTTCCGAAGGCTTCGTGGCATCCGATATGGGCCTACAGTCCGATCTAAGCCAGGTTGGCCCTATCTCTTACAGCCTCATGCTGCACCATTGAAGAGGTATGATTTGTTGGGCTGCGCGCAACTTCGAATGGGAGGCTTGCAGCTTGCATAGCCGACGACAGTCGAGTGCAGGCATCTGGAGTTGCAGCGCATGCCCAGCCGACTACTCATTATGTGACTCGATGCCGGGTTGAACAAAGGTTTGGTCTTCGTTCTCTCTAGCCTTTGAACTTTGCCACTAAGGGGCAATCGCAATTGTATGGCAATCAGAACTCTTTGACATCCTCTGGTCTAGTCTCATGGACGAGTCACTTAATTCTTGCATCTGAGAGATGTAGCTGAGCAGTTGTCCCAAACGTAAAATGGCAGTATCTTACAGGAAGCCTGCTACACCTTTCACGAATTTCAACCATCCATGTGCTCGTTAAGGCACAAGCAGGATCAAACGTTAGCGAAGCTGGCGTGCTTCTCTGGGAAGTGAGCGGAACTGAACTGTGTCCAAGCGAGGATCATTGCGCGGTCGTCAGTCTGACACTCCGGGCACTTTGGACCAGTCCACCTGGGCAGCCACAACACGTCTAGTCGCAGAAATCCTTCGCATGGCTCCACCTAGCGTTGTCGGTCACTGCAGCTGCAACTCTGGCCCATGGACATGTTGGTCCCAGTGACGGGAGGGAGCCACACAGCGTCGGCTATGACATCTTCATCTGGGACGTGGCGGCCCCGACTCGTTTCCCACACATACCACAGCCTCAGGAACAACTGCGGCCTCGCTAGCCTCTCTCCTCGACCCGGCATACTGCCAAGGGCCAAGTCACAACTCGCTGTTGCCAGGGTTCTCTGCACCTGAGTCCGCACATCAGCATCGCATGGCACGCCGCATCTGCTTGGTGCAGACTCAAAGTTCGGTACTCAGGCAACAATGCCTCCTAGACACCTTTGGCATCTGCGAAGGAGTTCGCGACATCTCCGCCATGAAAGCCTGAACTTGAACACAAAACAGGAGATGCCTCTTATGACTGGGGGGATAAACTCGCTGAGTCCCGAGCCAGCTTCGAGGTCAATAATCCATCGCCTGAGAGCTTAGGGCGATGCTGGCGATGATAAGGCTTGGCACCGTTCGGAAAGGGAATGTCGGACGTCTCGTTTCTTTGTGCGTGGAGCTTCAACAAGCTGTCAATGCAACGGAGCACATGATAACAGCCACCTGAAGCAATGCCGAAACACTCCTCCGCCGGCCAAAATCGAATCACGTGGTCAGCATCCGCCTGTCATTGAGCCACTCACTGCATGCTTATCACATGACAAGCACAACAGGAGCCTTCTTGTAGGCTGGCTTGCCCTCTACGATCTTTACGAGCTCGTAATCCCCTCAGCTGTGAGATCGTGGCCAACGACCAGCGACATGAGTAAACACAAACCTACTTTGGGTGGCTCCCTCGGATATCCCACATACCTGCAACTGTCTCATGCTGTGATCGCAAAGCCCTGCAATGCATGGAAGCGGCCGTTGATCGTAGAATTTTCCTTGTATGGGTCCCGGCCAGAAATTCTCACGAAGTGTGGTGCGACGAACCTGGGTTTCTTTTCGATGCTGAGCTCTGCAATATACATATTCCTACCGACTCAGTGCATCTGAGCCGTGCCGCGAACGCACCGCTGGATCCGTGAGGTGCCGCCCACGGCTCGTCTCCCAGACGTGCCAAACCTTATATGCTGACCTGACCTGCAAGCCTGGCACTGCGGCGCTGCTCAGAGAAGGGGTCTGAAGCTCAGTAGAGCAGCCAGATTCAGATGGCCAGGATGCATATGAGCTCCTGTTCCTCAATACAAAAAAACAAATAATTCACGCACTCCTGCGCACTTCAGAGTGTGCTGAGACAAAGCCCGACGAAACATAGCTATAGCTGATGCATTAGGCCACGTGAGTTCGCCAGGAGGCCACCTGCTTCCGCATAAGCATTGCAGATCTCTGTATCTCGCCTGTGATGCAGGTGCGCTCGCAATACAAAGCAGTCACGAGAAGCGAAAGACACGAAGATAAGGCTTCAACACTAAACTTGCCGTCCGAGCAGCAAGCCATCTAGATCTATGAGCCACCGCTCCTCTCGCGGCCAGTAGCGGATCGCGTGACCGCTGCCATCCGTCTGAGGAAAGAACAAAAGAGCCAGCACAAACCGGAGCGGACCACTAGGTCACGAGAAGCGACGGGACCGACACTGCCTTCATGTAGGCCGGCTGGCCAGCATGTAGCCCGACCTAGGACAGACCAAACCAACAAAAGGCATGGAATCGGCTGGTGCTTCTGCAGGCAAGCATCTAAGTGGTAGCTGCCGTTCCTGAGATATCTTTGCTAGCAAGAAATTCCTAGAGGCCTCCAGGCTTTCTGTAGCAGGTAAGCTTCATCGCTGTGTTTTCCTTTGGCGACTCCCGACCTCAAAGGTGCCACTGCCATTTGCCATCTTGCAGGCGCTGTTCGGGAGCTGAACTCAGAAGCCCCGGGCCGACCACTTCGATGACGGATGGTGTCACCAAAGTGCATAAGCTACTATCTAAAGTGTGACGCTGCCTCCCGAGACAGATACAGTCGGACACAGAATGAAAATGCTACACCATTTCAGGGTCACGGATGCCTGGTTGAATCCCAGATGTGCCACTGAAGCCGGATCTCACCTGTAGGCGAAACATGATACAGCAATGCTGCAGCTGTCATGCAGCGTCATGCAGCCGCCGTTCACGGCTGAAGGTGGCTCTCTGCTGGCGAAAATGGAACAAGACCAAAGCCTGGATAGCTGGTGTTCTGCGCATCTGCATACGCATTGCAAATATCCACATCTCGGAGACCTTCCAGGTCAATAAGCCACCTGAGGCGTTTTTCGGGGCGGAGGCTTTCATGGACTTGCGACAAGCATGTTTGACTGAAACAGCACGGCTTTCACGCTGTGCTGGTTCCCGAGCCTGGCCTGTCTCCGACTCTCCAGTATCCTTGCGTTGCAAATCATGCTATCTCCGAAGTCCGTGGCTAGCCCATTCAACTGTCAACTAACCTTGTCCAAGTTGCGGATGGCATGCCTTATCACAGCTCTGATGGCACGGAAGGCCAGGGTGCGGCTCAAGGCTGAACTGAAGATCACTTTGTGGCAGGCGGCTTAAACTTGCCTGCCTTCTGGTACGCAACTTTGCCTTGATGAAGTCCAATCAGCTTGTACCTTGGGGCGGAAAAAGAGAGCAGAACCGCAACTAAGGCCTTCAGTCTCTTTTGCAGGAGACTCCTGGAGCCAGGATGGCCCACCACTGGCATCCAGAGATAGGGTGACCCGAGGCCGCTCACAGCGCCTGCTGCGGCCTCTTCCCGGCCGGGGCCCCTGAGACAGACCCCGCAAGTCCAACACGCGCTTCAGCCTCCCAGGACTTGCGCTGGCTTTGCCAGGTGAAAAGGGTGACAAAGAACTTACAGAACCGAACCCGTGGTAGTGGGAATGCCTTCCGTGCTGCTCCGAATCGTGATCCTCCTGCACAGATTCCCCAAGCTCTGATTCGAACCTGTGATGCGCGCTGCTCGTCCAGTAATCGCTGTCGCTGTCGCTGCTCGTATCCCGCGCAGCACGCACCCCATCACGCGTTGGCAGGACAGATTCTCCATGCTCATGGGCATGTTGCGTCGGAAGTTCTGACCGCGGTGTCCAGTCGAGATCCTCCACACGCTCTCCTGGATGGTGTAAAAGCTGTGAATTCTGGCTTTCTGCCAGGGCTGCCACTTGGGCAGCACGCCAACTCTTTGTCTTGCCAACTCCACTGCTTCTGGACGCGACGGCAGGCACTGCATCCTCGAAGAATGTACACCATGCATCCAGTGGCCCTGCGGCACTCTCGCAAGCATTAGACGGCCAGGTGCGTTCTGGCTCGGCCCGCGCTGCCACCAGCTCTGTCTGCGGGTCCTCACGCTCCTCCGCATGGACTTGGAACGTTTCAGGCTCTCTCAGCCGGATGCCTCGCAGGCGCCGTGCCGGAGCCAGGCTTACTGTAATGCCGGACTTCGCAGGCAAATCGACCACTTCGACGACCGCCTCGGCATCGGAGGGCCGTTCTTTGAGGGTTTCAGGGCAAGGAGCCATCTCGGAATTTTCAGGGCTCGCGCTGCCGACCTGGAGATTCTCCAATAAGCCTCTGCACAGCTCAGCCGCCTCAGCCGCCTCGGCCGCCTCGGCCGCCTCAGCTAGCAAACTTGCGCTTTCCAAGCTCTCCGGCCTCGGCAAGGAGTCCGTGTCTGGCTCGCTGTCCGGAAACGGCGCCCAGAGGTATACTGGTGGGCAGCGTCTGGCAAGACATGGTGGGGAAAGAGGGACTGAAGGGACGGTCGATTGGGCCATCGTCCGCACGCCCAGCAAAGGGTGCGTCTCAGTGCTCACAGCGCTGTGAGCGACGAAGAGCTCCTGGTCTGCAGAGCCAGCGGTGGGAGCTGCTTCGGGACGTGGAGCCGGTGAAAGGTTTGTGTGGGCACCGGCACGGGCTCCCGTCATGGCTGACCTGGCTGCCAAGGCTGTCTCGGACAGCACAGGTCGAGGCGGTGGCAAGCGAACACCGGCATGCAGCCTTGGCCCCACCGGCGAGTCAAGCGTTCCCCTCTCGGCCCTCCCGATGTTCGGTGGGGCCACGGCTGGTAGAGGGCTTGTCTCACACCTCTCCCAGACATCTCCAAAGCTCGGGGCTGAATACGTCGAAACTCCGGAATACGACGGTGAGGAAACCTCAATTGAAGACAGCGCGGAGCCATCCGCCAAACCCAGATTCATTGGCAGCTCTGCTAACTAACACCTAGTAAGGCCTCGTAAGTCGATTTTGTCCGGAGTCAAGATCAATCTTGGACTCGATGTTGCACGTGTTCACTTCATGTTACGGCGGTTGCTCTGCTCTGGGATCCACTTCTCCTGAACAAGATGGCCGCAGATGGTTGGCCAATTCCAAGATGTGAGGCTTTTTGAATGGCCACCTGGTGCATTCGACGGGCTCTAAGCAGGAATGAATTCCAATCATGCGCCATGTCATCTCACAACAAGCCCCATCAGCAGCAAGAGTCGTCTCATCTACGACAGGATGCTCGCCGTTCAAGGCCCAGTTCTCCTTTCCAGCAGCACGCCCAAGCACCTCAGGCACGCAGGCAGGCAGAGAAGCCGGTGGCCGGTGGCGCTGCTAAAGATTCAACAGCGAATGTAAAAGCTGCAAGAAGGCCAGAATACTCTGCTGCTCCTGGGGATTCTTCATGCAGTCAATTGGCTTGGATGGTGTTGGGCGCTGCTGTCACCAGGAACCTCAGGAACCATCCAAGCCTTCTACGTAGCGTCCCTTGGGAACATAGCTGGGCCAGCTGCTCGGGGTCACGGACATGCTGCCGATGCTGAGACTCCCAAACTCTCCACCTCGTCCGCCGGGTCCGCCCTACTCCGCAAAATTTCTCAGCAGAAAAATCCCTCTTCTGCTTCCAAGCCACACGAGCTCCTCGACTGCAGGGTGCCTCGCACCGCCCTGCTCTGCATAGGCGTTGCAAATATCAGACTCCTGCTGGTGCGATGCGGGCAACAGACCGCACAAGAAGTTACTATTCTCATCTTACTCTCGTCCCTGTTTCTGTGTTCACAAACACCGTACTACAGACTCCTGGACACCCTCCCTGTCGATCAGCCAGCGGTCAGCGACAGGCCAGTATCTAATCACCGTCCTTCCGGGGCAGGTGCATCCTGAAACCAGAGACTTGAGATTCGGAGACCCAGACGGCTCTTGCAGAATTTGTTCCTTGCCTGCCTGCAGTGCTTAGGAGTGTTTGCCCTCTTTTTCTGCTGTCGTACGAGCCTCGTGCCAGGCTTGCGATAAGCAGGACGGCCGTGCACCATGCCGATCCTTGCCAGATGCAGACAGCGACAAGCCATGTACATGAAGCTTCTTCCGCAAGAGACCTCATGCTTTGGCAAGTTCATGGCTTCACTCAAACATGCTAAGCACTGGGCAGCTTACTAACATCATGCAAAAAGTTCCGCAGGAAAAGCACACCGTGCATCAATCAACGTCCATCCCATCATCCGGATGCACTCGAGCTTCATGTGGTATTCACCTTGGAGATCCTGATTTTCGCGCTCCTCGGCTGAAAATGTTACACTTTCTGCATCCGTGCAGATCAAGCGGACGATTTCAGGCTCCTTGTGTCGACCCACGACATTAATCACGAGCGGATCATCGGGCTCGGCCATCCTCCAAACACTGCGGTCGGGGCTTGCTGCACTTGAGCTGATGCAATTCCCGATGCTTGCTCTCCAACCTTCGACACTCGAAGGCACGCTGCCCGAGCCCTGGCCCGTTTTGAACCGAAAGCTGAGACAAAGCCCAAACCGAAGAATTTCGAGTACAGCAGCGTGCATCTAGCACAAGCCGCAAGGACTTCTTCCACTATCACTATCTTCTTCCGGCTACTTGCTCCGGATGAAGCTAGGAAACCACGGCTTGAAGCAAAATCTTCGACGAAAGCATCACACACCACAACCAGGCGCCCGCGGCCCAAAGTCGCTCAGGCCTGCTCCCAAGCCTGCTCACGTAGGAGCAGGCGAGACTCCTGTCGTCTTCTGCTTGCTAGACAGATAACGACAGCTTGCTTGGGCGTCAATTCGATGATTGGGTGAGCTTCCCAGTGGCAAAGGTCCTGACTCGGAAGGTTCGCCTCGTTGGAAACTTGCTCCGCTGTGTCAAAGCCCCAGCATCTGCCAAGATGCTACAATCTCTTTCTTCCTCCTCCTCTTTGGTCTCTTCTTCTGCTCTCAAATGCCAGGGCGGCTCGAAACGGCGCACGACGAACTCCTCCGAGCTGCTGAGCGGAGCCGCCGTGCCGAAGGTGTCACAGGCTCCCTGCTGAATCGAGGTTTGTGTAGCTTTGCAACTGGGTCTCTTGAAGGACTAGGCACCCACGACCACAAGAAAGAGAGAGCCATGCTGAAATGCATGAAAGTCACCGAGGCTCCCTTCAGGAAGTCCGCATCGATCCAGATTGCGGCAGATCTGGAAATCAGGCAGAGTCACAGCATTCGGCTTTGCCTAGATTTAGATAGATCTAAACAGATATAGATAGTAGAGGTAGGTAGATAGACAGACAGACAGACAGATAGATAGCTAGACAGCTAGATAGATAGATAGATAGATAGCTAGATACATACATACATACATACATACATACATACATACATAGATGGATCGTCTTGTATACATCATATACAAACGGAAGCGTCATTGGCTGGAGATCATGCAAAGATTGACTGCAGAACGAACGGTTGCCAGCACATGGTGGCTGATCTTCAGCTTTATCACCAGACACCCGCAGCCTGCCCCCGCCAACTTTCAAGCCACCTCAGAAGCGAAAATGGACGTGGGTGCTCATGCAGAGATGGTAAGAACTTGGGCGCATGCCACTATCAGCGAAGAGAAAGTACTGGTTGACGCCTGCCTGATCATGAATCGTCGTACTGAGGAATCCCCTTGGCGTGCGACGCATTTACCATACAACCTCTGCGCTGAACCACGCTCCATGCGAAGAAAGCTAAGCACAGCCAGCAGCACCCAAGGGTAGAGGTCGATGTCCTCACCTGCCTTGCCAGTCTTGTCATGCATTAAGCCCGGCAGGCCCGGCACAACTTCAACCACATTTTACCATGCTAAGTTGACTCAAGTGGGATGTAATGACAGGCACGCTTTGTTGGTAATCGACCTTGCGAGTGCACGGCCGTCTTGCAATGTGCCCAAGCTTCTCACCTCCGTCCGATCAAACCGGAAGACGAAGCAGCTGGGCTGTCCAAAATGTCGTCGGTTGGAAACCTGAACACTTTTCCGCCAGAGAGACAAGCGCAGAGCTCCGAGAGAGTTCATCCCCAGCCAGGCTAAGCCCGGCACATGCCAAGTCTGCGAAGCTAGTGCTCCAAAGACGGAGCCCTCCGCGTCCTCCGACTCTGGCCACAAAGACCGGGCCATCAAAGCAAACCGGTTTGCAAGCCGTTCGTCGCTCCAGATGCGACCAACGGACGGCACACATGCTGGGTGTAAACTTTTGGACATGGGTTCTGCTTCCGCAGATGTGGATCGCGGAGCTGCACATTGGGAGGCTTGTGGGCAACATCGAAGGGTTTAGTTGAAAGCCTGAAGCCCTTGTCTGTGGGGGGAATCTGGATTTTGGACGACAGCCTCTCCTGCGTTCACTTGGACCCGCTGCGAACTGGAAAAATAGGGACGCACCAGACACATGCATGTGTGCCACATGTGTACAGATCACGCAGCTTCACCATGCCTGTCGAGGAAATATCCAGTTAAAGCGAGAGATGTTGCGAACAGTTGAAATAGCAAGCATTGGCACGGGCCCTCATGTCTCACCACCTACATCCGACTGCCTGAACATCACAAGGTTTCGAAGGAGCATAAAGAGCAGAGCAGACACAAGCTTTTTCGGCCAGAAGAAAAAACCTCCCTGCGTTGTCTCTACGTAGCTCCATGCTTATCCTTCCTTGCCTCATCACCCCCCATCAGTGGCTCTATGCTCTTTTCGACTGACCCTCAGGCTCTCGCTGATTCTCTCTGACTGAATGGAAAGCTTGCCGCCCACTTCTCTCCAAATCTTGAGGAAATTGCAGACCGCAAAGAGCCGACTTGTCCTCAACAAAGATCAGCGTCTCCCCCGGCCAAGCCTTCAAGCACGACTGAGACTTCTGTCGCAAATGCAGCTGAGAACGCATTGCAGCTGTGTTCGGCCTGACATTGACGAAAGAAGGTGCCGATGGAGACACCATGCACTCGAGGGTCGTACAACAGCCTCCAGGCTCTTGCCATTCCTGAGAACTCGCGAAGATACCGCCCGCAACTTTCAGCGAAGAGGGAGTGTTCTGCTTTCTTCCAAGTGTCGGCAAGTGATGGGAAGCTGTGGACGGAGGAGCCTGAGCCGAGCCTGTCACGGTTCCCGTAACTACCGAGTCACACCTCGGCCACTTTACGGGCCTCACACGAGATGCGATGAGCGCAGGGAGACTCCGTGGCTCCGGAGCATGACGTTGCATTCTTTCGCTGCTCTCCGCAGACTTCGTAGCGCGGCTCCGCTCAGCTTTGGAGCTTTGGAGTTTCAGTGCGGCTCAGGGAATCTCCTCGTCAACGGGAGGGTAGAAGTAACTTTGCACATCCAGCACCATCGTGATGATCTTCCCTGGAAATGTGAAGGTGTCTTTTCCTCGGCCATTCCACAAAACGGATCTTCGGACTGATGCTCTCAAGTTAAGATGAGTCTCCACGACGCAACCTGCTCAATTCAGTGAGGTCATCGACACCCTCGGAGTCCAAGGCAAGGAAGAAGGGATTGTGCTCTTGCTCCTGCTCAGAGTGCCATCACCCAGCGCACATGCAATCTGCACATGCCCCCCGTGCAGCCCGCGCGGCTGCTGCAGGGGCCTCCAACAGTGTGGACGGTACTGTAGGCAAGCCTTCTGCCCGCTTGGCCTTCGCTGCGTCTAAGCGGTCTTTCAAGAGGTTGCTGGAGGGCTCCAGGGACAGAGCGTACTCCAGGTTCCCGACCTTGTCGTTTCTCAGACTTCTCAAAAACAGTCTCACAGCACGGCTAACAGAAAGATGATCCCATGTTCCACAACTGGGCACCGTGTACTCGTGGCCACAGAAGAGCCGTGAATTCTTCGGCAGCGCTGCCAAGGCATGCAAGGTCCGGCGCATAGAGAGCGCAGTGCCTTCAAAGATCTTCGAAGCTTGAACTTCCCTCCCACGAACCAGAGTGCACCTTCCATAAACCGGCCGCAGCCGGCTACGAAAAGAGCGTCTCCTGAAAAGAGCGCAGGTGCCTGGCAACTCCATCGGCATGAAATGACAAAGGCGGTGCCATCTTGTACCCCATGCAACTCCAACCTGCCTGACCGTCGTCAGCATCCAAAAAGAAGCAAACGTGGCCGCGAGTGTGGCAAGGTGTGGCCACGCAGCGAAAGCTGAGGCCTGAAAGAGCCGACACGCAGCTGAGCCTGCAAATCGCAGCATCGTTGCCTGTTGCAGGATACCCTGCCTGCCAGCTCAATGCTCTCACCGTCCCGCACCCGGCGCGTAACTGCTGGAGTTCGGTCCTCGGCCACCAATCATGTCCAAGCAGACACATCAGAGCAGCAGTAAGAAAAGCACGGCATCGCGTTCGCCGACTACCACTTCGAGGCCAGGCAGTGTGCTCGCAAGAAAGGCGTTGCCACCTGGCACAATACGCGGCATCTCGCTGAAAAACTCTCATGGGCATTACAGAATTATCTTGCAGATCTTTTCCCATTACAGAACTGACTCAACGGCCTGAGTGGTCTGCGTGGTAGTGCGTGTTAAGCACGGCGACGAGGTCGATCTGATCAGGCTGTGGACGAACCCATTAGCTTCGGGAAGGTCCGCCGATCCGGCAACTGCCAAGAACGTAGCATCCAGAGAGAATGCTGGAGGATGCTTAAGGCATCAGCTGACCTCTAGACTCTTGCACAGTGCCGCAGTCTTCTCGCCCTCGGCGGGATCGATGGCGACGGCTCGGGCAGAGTCTGTGGCAACGACCAGGTACCTCAAACACAGCCACGATGTGTTCTTGCATAAGTTGAGGCGGGGTCTGCCAGAACTCACAGGATATAGCTGCCGAAGCTGCATATAATTGTCACTGAGCGCCTTGACGATCTTAATCCTCGGACATGCAGCATGACAGCTGAGTCTGATACTTTTCCACAATGACTGCGAGCTGCTGGTAGCGAGAAGTAGCGTCAGACGGAACATCGTATACCTCCGGAAGCTCGGAGCCAGAACCCTGGAGCCATGCGAAGACAGTATCCATGATTCCGCGGCTGCTTCAGAAACCTTTCTGACGACTAAGTCTCTTCAAACCTGCAGGAGTGTATGACATGTGCCAGGCGTGCTGTGCAAGCTGACGATATCAGAATCGACACTGAGCCAAATGCTGTGACAGCACTGGATGAAAGCGCTTCTGGCAAGCCCACACCCTCTTTGTCCTACCTACTTCAGACATTGGCTATTTGCAAGTGCAGGCATCATGTGACGGAAAGCAAAACTGCCACATGCCTCGGACAGCAACAAGCGGGTCTCTGGCCTCGTATCTACGATGACCGCAGACCGAAAGGAACCCGAACGACTCCACCGCAGCTCGCAAGAATGCAACGTGGGTAGTTTTCGACAGCCTTGTAACACAACTCGCTTGGACAGGCCTCTTATGCTCAGCAGGATTGGTCTGTCGTGAAGAAAACAATGAATGACACATCAATCATAAAGAAGCGTATATGTGTGTGTATGTATGTATGTATGTATGTATGTATGTATGTATGTATGTATGTATGTATGTATGTAGGAGGTATGTACGTAAGTACGTTGCTATGTATGTATGTATGTATGTATGTATGTATGTATGTATGTATGTATGTACGTATGTATGTGTATTATATATACATGTATGTATATTTACATACCTACATACCTACATACATACATACATACATACATACATGCATACATACATACCAACGTACTTACGTACATACCTACATACCTACATACATACATACATACATACATACATACATACATACATACATACATACATACATACATACATACATACGCGTATACAGTTTCTTTGTATGTATTTATAGCGAAGATGCAACTTGACATTGAACACCATTCCGGAAAGGCGTATCACCTGCGAAGCCTCCATCTTCAGGCAGCGGATTGCAAGCCCGGTGTTGTGGGCGACATCTCTCGTGAGCCTAGGCCCTCGGCTCGTCGTCTGTAACTTTCACGCAACAAAGGATTCCGTAGACGTTGGTTGAGAGTCTCCGACTTCGCCGCACTGCGGTCGACTCACCCGGGCGCATGCCATCGAACCAGGATGTCCTGCCTTTGCTGAACCTCGACCGTAAGCCTGTAGTGAGTGGGGGTCTGCATCCCAGCCTGTACCAGAGACATCCGAGGGCAGTTGCACTAAGAGGTCTGAAACCAAGTCACATGGATGACAAGCGATGTGTTGATGATTTGACGCCGCAGGAGGTCGTACATAGGAGGCATGTAACGAAGATCTTTCTGTGACAAGGCACCCAAGAGGAAGCCAGCGCGGCTTCGAGCTGCGGCATGGAGAAAGGTCCTCCGTCGAGCGTCGCTCAGATTTTTGCCAAAGTCTGCCGCTGTCCAAGAAGTCCTCTGCCCAAGGTTTTCGCGCACACAGGCCGGTGCTCTGCAAAACGACCTCCGAAGCAGCAACACGACCGGTTCAGCTAACTGACCACCAAGTACGATTTATTGTCTCAACATCTCAAAACCACATGCTGCTTGGCCTGCGATGGAAGGTCATCGAGGAATGTTCCAAATCTCGGTCTGCTGTCGCAGGGGAGACATGCTGACTTGGAGCAGCCGCCATTGCAACCTTGTCCTGAAGGCTGAGCTCCGAACGGGACGTCCGAAAAGCCATCGTTCGAATCATCGGAAAAGCTCAAACATCTTGAGGATCCCGACCGCACAGATCCTGAGCACTACCAGTCATCCCACAACGGCAGTCTTCGATTTTGCCTGCAAAGTCTTACTTGCTGGGACCATGGCCAGTCAAGGAGCTGCGAGACACAGACGCTTTCATACCTGGGCCGCATCGGGCTCTGCCCTTAAAGCTGCGCGCTCAATCGAATTCTCGTCATCCGGGAATGCGGCTCGAAGCATCGGGAGCCAAGAATAAACTGTGTCAGACAAGGATTGTGTACATTTAGGAATCAACAGAGCACAAGAGCGCCGCAGCCCACTCACGCAGTTGCCTGGGCAGCACTTGCTGCTCACTGAGCACATCTGCATGGGAAGGCAGGACTATCTTGTCCTGCACAGGGCTCACGGAGTGTGATGCGAGACAACCGAAGCTCTGCAACTCCTGATCCCACACGTTTCCATCTTCCGTGATGTCACGGAACACCTGTGATCTTCAACGATTGGGCAGCAAGCCTCGACAACATCGAAGGTCGGGCCTGCGGCACATTGCCCATCCACACGAAGCTACATGCACGAAGTATTACGGCTGCTCACGACTGCCTTGTAGCCTAGGCGAGGATACATTGCCGCTTATGGGGTGCATGCTCAAAATACCCGGAGCGGGTTGTCTAACTAGAAATCCCAAAGCATGCATGTTGCCAAAAGATTAGCAGTTGGAAGGAATGGCCACAACATCAACAATGGAAACCATCTATGCATGCCATGAAATTGCTTCCGCCACATTGGCGCAATGCTTCCTAAAACGAAAAATCGCTTCCGCCCTCCAGCTTCCATACTCAAAATGTCCCACAAAACTCCGAAACTACAATGGCAAACCACTTGCTTGAAGGAATGTAAAGGCTTAGGAAACGACGGCAATTGACCGACGATTTGTGCTGCTTCCATCCATACTCGCGATTTATTTGTTCGGAAACAAAAGACATCAAAAACCCGAACTTTCCCGTTTGTATGCACTGGTGTCAAAGACGCAATCAATATGCTTCGTCAGTTCACACGCAAGTAAACGAAAAATTACTGCTCCAGCCAATCACAGATTGCAAGACTTATTTGTTTGCGCACTTGGGAAGTCATGCGATTGTAATGCAGCAACTCTGCCAAGATCTTCATAATTGAAAACACACCTGAAACAATGCGCAGGAGAGAGTAAGCACACAAAGTGGCACAAACGCATTTGTCCATGCAAGTCTTGGAGCCAATCCACTGTCGTGGACTTCTCCGCCACACCAAAATGAACAGGGCAATGGTTGAAGAATCCAAGCAAAGCATTCCCTTCAAAGCCGCAGCTTCGACCTTGGCTCTTTATTTTTTTGTCTGTTACATCATTCCTTTTCTTCTGTTCAACGCTGACTGGCCTCTAAAGCTTTAACAGTTTAGAAGACTTTAACAAAGCCAAAATGTGGTTTTTTAATTGTCTGGCCAACAAGGATTCAGGAAGCTGCAATGGATTTCAATGTTTCACCAGTTGAAAAAGTGCTTGCTTCTGTTTCAAAATGTGGTTTTGAGCAAAGCCTTCCAAACTTGTTAGAGAAAACAAACAGAAGAAGCCACGCGAAACCCTTACAGAAGTTCCTTTGCATGATTGGAAGCTAAGCGGAAACGCTTTACAGGGAGAATTCGAACCTTACTTAAATCCAGGGTCTCACCCAGGTTGAATCCAGGTTTCTTGTCCAGGTTCGGATTGAATGTGGTCAATCTGGCTTCGAATCTGGATCAAATGGGTTGACTCAATGTTGTTGTTCTTCCTGGATTCGAAACTCTCTGTGGCCGATTGCCAAAGTGTTCTCCCTTCAAACGGCTGGGCCCCAGACCTTCGGGCGAAGGGGGGCTTAAGGGGGGCTTCAAGGGGGGCTTAAGGGGGGCTTCAAGGGGGGGCTTAAGGGTCACCCCCTTAAGGGGGTCTTAAGGGGGGGGGGGGAGGGAGGGGGGGGGGGGGGGGGG